GGCCCCTCAGACTGACGTCGCTGTCGGTCGATCCTCTCTTGAAGAAGTCGCGCGCTCGCTGTTTGTTCCCGTCGCCTGCGCGCGGCCCACAGACCCCCGGGAGCGCGCGGCTCGCACCCAAAATCACCAGGAGCGAGGCTCGCGCGCGTTCACGTGCACGGCTCGAGGACGCAGCAGCTAAAGCTAAACGGAGCTCAGCTACCGGACAGACCGACTACGGAGTCCAGCGTCGTTCATTTTGTTCAGGCGGAGCTGCGACGGCCGGCGGGATCAGAACCGTGTGAGATCTGATATATGAGTGACAACGGAAACATTAACGAAAGATGGTTCGGGAAACCAGACACCTCTGGGTGGGAAATTTACCCGAACATGTCCGAGAGGAGAAGATCGTGGAGCATTTTAAACGGTAGGTTATTATTAGTATTAGTATTAGTATTAGTATTATTATTAGTATTATTATTACGCAACCCTCCGTTGGCGAGGCAGCGCGCGCTAGGTGCAGTAACGTTAGCTACTCGCGCTCCTGCGACCGAAGCTAATGCGGCTAACGTTAGCATGTTTTAAGTTTTATAAAGTCGGAGGCTTTCATGTGTTAAACTGCAGCGCGGCGATATCTGCTGAACCGAAATGTCGGGATAACGGCCGCTTACGTGTAAATGTTCCCGGTTTTAAATGTTTCGTTAACTTTTGCTGATGCCAAGAGGCGAGGAGCTAGCTGCGTTAGCCACCGAGCTAACACCCAACAACCATTTTGTGGGAAGTCGAGACGTTTTCATAATCAGTGCGAGTCTGCAGGCAGCTGACGGGAGCTGGGCAGCAGGTCAGACAGCATTAGGAGACTTGTTTCTTCAGCCACCGGAGACTTCTGACACACATTGTTGTTTCTCTGCTCCACAGTGAGCGACGTTATTGAAATGTTGAAGTGTGGAGAAGCCACAATGTGCGGCCGATATTAGCAAGTTGTTGAGCTGCTTGACGTCGGTGACCGGATCCATCGCTATAACTTACTTAAACTCGGAGGAGATACTCGGTTTGGCTTTCTAATGTGGCCAAGTTGCATGTACACTGCAAACCAGGCTTTGCCCCCGATAATAAACACCGCTAACATCTTAAAGTTGTGTCCTTTCCCCGTGTTGTGTCTCTGTTATTTGCTACGTAAGTTAAGGCCACTCGAGTATCTCATCAACAAACACAGTTAATGGGAGCTGCTGCTGTACCGGGGTGACAGCTGCGTGTTTCTTTGGTCGTTAAACACCGACATTTGTTGTGTGTTAGGCCCCAGAGTGATGTTTGAGTAACATTAAGGACTTTGAAATTGTGTAGAAACCTCAAAACACTTCCAACAACATTTGTAAAAACAAACAAGTGTAATCATGTTTGCAGACACTTCTTTACATTTAGTTCATTTCTGTATGGTGGCTTCAAAGGACACATTTGTGGAAACTTGCTATGGTTCATAATTGAAAGCAAATCATTACTGTCTGATTGTAGTGTCTCTTCTGTTCTTTATTTACCTGGCTCTGGCACACAGAGAGACAGCTGCACTTAACCTATTCTTAACTGGTGTATATGTAATTTCCTCTTTGTTTTCATTGTAACTTCCTCTCAGGTATGGGCGTGTGGAAAGTGTTAAAGTTCTCCGGAAGCGAGGGTCAGAGGGTGGCGTTGCAGCCTTTGTGGATTTTGTGGATATCAAAAGTGCGCAGAAGGCTCACAATGCTGTCAACAAGATGGGGGACAGGGACCTTCGGACTGACTACAATGAACCCGGGTCAGTGCCTAGTGCTGTTCGGGGCCTCGAAGACAGCTCCCCCTCGAGCAGTCGAGACGTTACAGGATTCTCTAGGGGAACAGTTGGTCCAGTGTTTGGTCCATCTGTGTCCCTTCACACCAGAGAGGGACGTTATGAACGGAGAATAGATGGGTAAGTGGACACGGCCTCCCCTTAAAATCCAGGGGGATCTAGATATTGGATAGGTGTAAAACCTAAACACATAGTGGGGTTACTCGTGAGGGATATGTGCCTCCAGGGGGTTACACAAAGGTAATTAGGGATCGTTCCACTTTTCATCATAACTGACTCGCTTTCCGCACGGGATCTAAGTAATTAAAGTACACATTATCATTTGGTAAGGTAACTATAATTCAAGGTTTGACATCTGGTTTGGATATTACATCTGTGAGGAATATCCTGGTGAGTTTTGGATTTATTACATTTTGTGGGAAACTACCTGGGGGAGCTTTTGGATATTTTAAAAACATTTTCCGCCTAAATATGGGATCTAACCGTGATTTTTAGTTGGAATCGCTTGAAACTGGAAGTAAAGTCCTACTATCAAGTCCCTCTTATGAAGGATGTACTTTTGAAAAATCTATTCAGGCAACACATCACTTCAAGGATTTCCCATCTCGGGTTGTCAATTGTTTTTTCCTCTTGGCAACAGCTGATGGTTGGACTACTTTTACCATTTTTTTTACACCTGTGGATACGTCCTGTTCTGGATTAAAGTTTTGAACAAGTGGATGGAAGAACTTGGTAACGTCACAAGAAAAGACCAATGTAGTGCATACGTCCTAGGCTATCTCAGTCATTTTTAGGAGATTAACCATATATGTATACACTAAACGCGCTTTGTCCCAAATATGGAACAAATATTCCAAGAAGACTTTGCAAGAACGCTGAGGATCCAAACAACCCACCACCAATGTTTGTGGAGCTTTTCTCGTTTTGGATTGATGGCCAAGAAGACACATGAAGACCGCATAGTTGGGATGTAACCTCCAGGATTTATGCAATACCGGTTCCCCGTGTTGGATGTACTGATGTGGACCCTAGTGTGGATAGGTGTAGCTGCCGTTCATTTGGATTACTCGAGTGTGGATGTAGCTGTGTGAGGTCTCAGTGAGGAGAAGAAGTATTGAGCTGAAGACAACCTTTTTCAAAGTAACTTGAAATGTTGCT